TTGGTTATAAAATGTTTTATTATTTGTTTATAGTATTACCATGCGTGTAAGTCTTCAGAGACAATTTATTTCATTTTATATGTTGTGCAGCCTTCTTCACACGTCGCTGTATTTTAATTAATTTACGAGCAGATTTGTATGCCCAACGTGTGCTGCACATATTTCTTATCAAAATTATTTTATTTGTTAATAAAAAAAATAAAAAATACTACATGATATAATTATGATAGCTAATTACTATAACGAAAGTAAGATAATATTATATTCATTATGTTTTACGAACATATGGTTCATTTATGAGGTCAACATTTTTTAACTAACAAAAATGATTCATATATTATATCAATTAATGAATGATCTACATTTTACTAATTACTACGCTCTAAGTTAAATTTTTATATAATAGGTAACTGTAAAATAATTTGGTGACACCATTGCAATGTATATACAATGGAATATTTTTTTACAGTGGACAATAATATTATTCGAAGTGCGTATTTACTTTTATTGCTGGCTCTTTGTAATTTTAAGAAACTTGCAGTTCTAACTACATCTTACACTGCTCCGATTTTTTCATCCTATTGTCTATTGTTGCAGGTTGAACCACTATAACATTATAATTTTTAATTAAATGACCATTAGTATGTTTTTAGTTCTTAAAAATCTAATGAAGCATAATAATATACTTATCAAAAAAATTATGACATAAATATCCAATAACTACATTAAAATTGAATCAATAGTTTTTTTTTAACTATATGCATTAAAAATTAGTTACATTATTTTCATAAAGGGGCCTTAAATAACTCAACATTTAATAAAACTAACCATCGTACCTACGTGTATAAAAATGTCAAGTCTACTTATGTAGTATACCTATAGTTAGGTATTGCTTATATATTTTTTTTTTATTGTTAATAGTTCAAATTATAATCACTCGATTATGACTCATAATTTTAACAGCTCGCTTAATAGTTAATATCCCAATGATTATTAGTCTTGTATATCTAAATTTCATGTAAAAAATTAATAAATTCTATTTCAAAAATGTTTTACTTGGCGGATCACCAAGCGTTATTTTTCCATAACACTATAACAATTATAAACATCGTATTTAAGCCAAACTTGTTTTAACATTATTTGAAAATCATTAATTTGGTGATTTATGTCTATATATAATACTCTTCCATATAAAAAAAAAAAAAAATACCGAACTAAACAATCCCGGTGACATGCAATTCCTGTAATTACCTATCTACACAAAGATAATTAAAAAGTAAAATATTTCAAAAATTTTACCTCCCTGACTGTAATATCAACTGGGTTTCATTTTTCCGTTTCAAATCAATAATAATCATACATTATTATTATTCCTTTGTTCGCTCTGAATAAAAAAACCCTTTTGTTTATCGATGATATTCACGCTTTTCTACATAATATATAATATATAGNATAAATTTACAAGGGAGGCGTAGAATGAAAAATATTGGGAACCGCTGATTTATATGAACGTTGATAATTCTCACCATTTATCGATTTTACCACTTTAATTGCTTAGATAATTTCCATATTTTATTCTACTATTTGTATTCGTTTTATGAAATACACAGAATTTAAGAAACATTATTTGGTTATAAAATGTTTTATTATTTGTTTATAGTATTACCATGCGTGTAAGTCTTCAGAGACAATTTATTTCATTTTATATGTTGTGCAGCCTTCTTCACACGTCGCTGTATTTTAATTAATTTACGAGCAGATTTGTATGCCCAACGTGTGCTGCACATATTTCTTATCAAAATTATTTTATTTGTTAATAAAAAAAATAAAAAATACTACATGATATAATTATGATAGCTAATTACTATAACGAAAGTAAGATAATATTATATTCATTATGTTTTACGAACATATGGTTCATTTATGAGGTCAACATTTTTTAACTAACAAAAATGATTCATATATTATATCAATTAATGAATGATCTACATTTTACTAATTACTACGCTCTAAGTTAAATTTTTATATAATAGGTAACTGTAAAATAATTTGGTGACACCATTGCAATGTATATACAATGGAATATTTTTTTACAGTGGACAATAATATTATTCGAAGTGCGTATTTACTTTTATTGCTGGCTCTTTGTAATTTTAAGAAACTTGCAGTTCTAACTACATCTTACACTGCTCCGATTTTTTCATCCTATTGTCTATTGTTGCAGGTTGAACCACTATAACATTATAATTTTTAATTAAATGACCATTAGTATGTTTTTAGTTCTTAAAAATCTAATGAAGCATAATAATATACTTATCAAAAAAATTATGACATAAATATCCAATAACTACATTAAAATTGAATCAATAGTTTTTTTTTAACTATATGCATTAAAAATTAGTTACATTATTTTCATAAAGGGGCCTTAAATAACTCAACATTTAATAAAACTAACCATCGTACCTACGTGTATAAAAATGTCAAGTCTACTTATGTAGTATACCTATAGTTAGGTATTGCTTATATATTTTTTTTTTATTGTTAATAGTTCAAATTATAATCACTCGATTATGACTCATAATTTTAACAGCTCGCTTAATAGTTAATATCCCAATGATTATTAGTCTTGTATATCTAAATTTCATGTAAAAAATTAATAAATTCTATTTCAAAAATGTTTTACTTGGCGGATCACCAAGCGTTATTTTTCCATAACACTATAACAATTATAAACATCGTATTTAAGCCAAACTTGTTTTAACATTATTTGAAAATCATTAATTTGGTGATTTATGTCTATATATAATACTCTTCCATATAAAAAAAAAAAAAAATACCGAACTAAACAATCCCGGTGACATGCAATTCCTGTAATTACCTATCTGACTGTAATATCAACTGGGTTTCATTTTTCCGTTTCAAATCAATAATAATCATACATTATTATTATTCCTTTGTTCGCTCTGAATAAAAAAACCCTTTTGTTTATCGATGATATTCACGCTTTTCTACATAATATATAATATATAAATACCCAACCTATAGATATACCCTATGATATATACGTCAAATATTGACATGTATTTAGAATTTTTCAAATGGAGATGGTAGGGAGTAATTTTATTAAACAGTAATAATCTTTTTTAATTTTATTAATATTATTCTCAGTTTGACCACCGCGATTGTTCATTATAAATAAGCCATTCATTTAGTATACAGGTGTAACGAGTGACTTTTTTTCTGTTGATAAGATGAGTAAACTATAACACCCACGATATGTTAATTGATAACATTGTTCTATATACTCTCGAATTTATGTTTTCGGTCATATCATTACTGGTTGAATTCATCTACCCCGTTCCATGAAAGAACGCATCGTGGGTAAATAAACAGCGTGATGTGCAACGTTCGAGAAAGCAAGCTACACTGTTCAAGTGTTTCGCTCGTTTGAAATCTAAAATTATTTTGTAGGCACAATATTATAATATTATACGGTCTACGAGCATGTCCGAATGGCATGGTTTCATTAAAATCCAGTAACGAAAAGTAGGTATTATTAGTAGTCATTACACACCTGCAGGGCATATTATCGACTCATCGATGCAATACGAGAACAGCTGGAATAATAAAGTTAAGAGTTCCCAACAAGTAACAACCTGCAGTGCAGCGTATTTGGTGACCCGATTTCATATCATTTCTAAGGAAACTAAGATTTTACATACATCTGACCCTTACCGAAACCGTGGCTCGCTGTTCTCGGAAATGGCTCTTATATAATACTACCGTTTACGAGGGTTTTCGAGGCGATACAAACCCCGACATTATTAATATTAATAATGAATAATTGTCATCATTTTGTATAATCAATTCAAAGTGTATCAGATAGCATACTGTTTTTGCTATATGTTTATTATTTGTTTAGGTCTTATTTATTAATTTTGTTCTCATAAGAAAATACAAATTTACCATCAGCTTCTTAATCAGAAATTTAACTTTAATTCTAGTTTCTTCTCAAAATTAGGTTTATGGTGTCTAATACTAATTAATTGAATACTTTTTGACGTGTTCTTCGAATACCTATATTTTTAATGTATAAGGGGCGTCCAAACAGTTCAAAGAAAGACAAATTAACATTATTTAATTTTTTTTCTATTGACTTTTCTTTGTACTTAATAGCATTTATTGGAGTGAAATCGGCGGATAAAAACTCTAAAACTAATATATTATACGTATATACTCTAGACTCTAGAGCTATAGTATCTATTATATACCCAACTTTAATTGATTTCCATATTATACTGAATGCCGGACGACCAACGAGTTAAACATGTACGTTTTTTAGAAGTGTTCCATAGGAGATTTCATCCAACTTTAACCGTAAATAGAACTAAGATAGTTATAAAATATATAATAAAAAATATTGAAATTTATCTTTTAATTTATTTACACACCTCTCTTGTAACACGGCATTGACAGCCACAACAAAACATATATTAAGCATCTAGAAAAAATATTTTGAAAAGACATAATGAACATAATGCTACATTATGAATATTGAGAATATTTATTTGGTGTTAGGGGTTTAGGCCAATTTGGTTTTTAAAAATATACTTTATTTCTGATACGAAACAAAATTTGATATTTTTTGTATCAAGTAGTTCTGGCATACCTATACTTGGCTGATGTCATTTGAATACGACATTATATTATTGTAATATGTGTATGGCAGTTAAGACGTGGACATCAGCTGTTGGGTCGTGCTAGAAGCGGTCTTACCCAGCGGGTGACATATTATACGTACGGGAGTATACGTTGTGGAAAAAAAAATTACTTATTATAATATTATTATAATTATAATAATATACAAAATATTTAAAAGGACTTACGACCGGCAGAAACCGTCCACGGCGGCAGTTATTCGTCGAAACCGCACACGCACTCACCGTGGGGGCTCACCACCGCCGCCGTATTCGTGTTGGCAGTGGTCGTCGTCGGCGACGGCAGCGTTGTCTCAGTCTCGTTCGACAACGTGTGCCGTCCGGTCGTCTCTCGTGCGTCGCGTCGTGTCCCATCGAATCCGTCGAGTTCAAACCGAAAATTTAACGTCGCGATACTTGGATCAACGGATTTACTGTAAATTTTTATTTTTTTAGTCGTCATCCAACCGTAAGACGCATAATAACCGAAAAACAAACGGCCAATAATAATTTTATAATTACGTGTACGGGTCAGTTTCGCACGTGCAGACGTCGCTTAGCTATCGTCGTAGTCCTCCGTCTTCTCGCGGCCACGCGCTGATAGCGGTATTGCTGCAGTGGCCGAAACGCATGGTGGCCGTCGTTCGACACGAACCGTGGACATGAACGGCGGTCGAGTAGCCAAGCGGCTGCTGGCCGTCGTGCTGGCCCTCAGCACGCTGGTCACGCTGGGCTTCTACTACAACGGCTTGTCGTCCGGCGTCGGCGTCGGAGGCGGTGGTCGTTCGGACGACCGGCCACAGCCGGCAGCGTTATTGCCGGCCATCGAGTGGCCACAGCGCTCCGAGGACGATTCGTCGGCCAATGACGTCGCACCGTCTGCGCACAGAAAGCGGCCGGGGGTCGCCCTGCAACACAGGGTCGCGCCGCTGACGGCCACCGTGGACCGAGACACATGTCCGGTTCTTGGGTTGGCCAACACTACCATTGACACGGCTGCGGAGTTCTCGCGATTCGAGTTCCAGGTAAGACCGATATCAAATTGTTTTTAGCAGGAGGTGGGTTTTGATGATATAGTTCTGGAACGATTTGTTGAGGACAATTACCTGGGTACATATATCGCGGGTTGATTTCTTGAACACACTTGCCCTCCCCTCCCAATCACATTAAGTATGCCTATCGTACATTTAAGGGTCATTTTGTTATCAAAAGCTGTTATTCGGTTGTTATTTGTGAGTTTATAACAATTTATTGACTGTGGTGTTTATTGCTTAAATGGATTAGTGCTTTATTTTCTATGAAAAACAATTTAAAAAATGATACAATACAGTTATTGTTGGGCAGACGATATTTTGTAGAATTTTACTGTGTACTAGTGTAGCATATTACAACTATTCACCATAGTCCATAAAATAAGTTCTTACCTATTTATGATAGTATATCCTAATACTATTCTATAGACTATTAAAATATATGAAGGTATAAATAAGGTATTAATATTAATAGGTTTGAGACAAATAAAATAGAATTGAAAACCATTCCTAAGATTTTTGATTTTTACATGAGTACTTAATATCAATATTTGCACAAATATGTGACGTTATCATTTGAGAAAAAATAAATTTTTGAAAATATGATTTTCACTATTTTTTTAGTAGATATACTTAAGGTTAGATTTAAATAAATGTGGAGTAAGCAACCTGTTTGAATGATTAATTTTAATTTTTTATTGGAAATTTGTGACGATTTTGTTTCTTATTTGCTACATTATTATGCATTTAACATGAACAAGTGTCTAAGTATCTAACATCTATATAATATATTCCTATTGTATCAAAAGCAATACGTAATGATGGTATTCTATTTGTATTATAAGAAAGAATACAATATTATTAATGTGAAAAAAAAATGATTTACACACTATAGCCAAGCGTGTACCTATAAGAAACGTGTAGGTATAAACACTAGTTAAATATATTTTTATCGGGAGCAGACGCATGGAAATAATAATAATAATAAACAAATGCAGACGAGACCATTCCTATAAAATATCTACGATATTAACATAATATTTCTAGTCAACGAGTGCACTCGGGGAAATCTTTTTATTATCATACCCCGAATAGATTCGATAAGGTCCCACATATATATACATACATCATACTTGGTAAACTTATATAAAGAAAAAAAATAGTAAGCGTAATGAATTACAAAATTTAAAAGTCTCAAGTCATGCAGTAGTCTTCAACAGTTCAACCATTATAAATAGGACAGTTGTAGATATAGGTACCTGCAACTATATAATATGATATTATTTGCTTACGTTCGAAAGATATTATTTTATCGAAACGTCACGGCTATGCCACATACTATATACATATGAAATATATAATAAATGTTCTGTTGCTATACATGCAATACAGTTGGGCGATGGTGGCGTACCAATATCCATATAATATTTTAAAGTCTACTCGGAGTCGAGCATCATAATATGGTACCTACAGATAACAAAGAGAAAAAGCTGATTTTTCATTTCGTCAGTAAATAAATATATAATCTGGAGTCTGGACCATAATATATTTTCTAGTCTGGGACTCGTATATATATTATATATATATATATTATAAATATTATATAAATACCAAAATCAGTAAAATGTAGATCAAGTTGACGATTCGTTAGGAATCGTAAATGTTTATAGTCTTATGAAAACACATAAATCAAAATCGTTATTATTCTCGTTATGTGTGTAGCTTAGAACCTGTTTTTTTTCAAAACGATGGGGTATTCAATTATTGTTATTCTCGGAAACGTATTCAAAGTTTTATAGTGAGATATTATTAATTTAATCTCGTATAAATCAAAAATCGAACCGAATGGTCCAAAAGACATATTATTATTGTTATTTTAATATGCGATTTTTTTTTTTTTTCGTGAAGACAAATATTTTATTGCAATATTTTATTATTTAAATGGGTGTCAACAAAATATGTAATTGGTATCGATTGCCAATAATTTTTTTCATCCAATTCAGTAGATGTCGAGCGTGTGTAGTTGCACACGAATTGACTATATTATAGTCGTGTACTTATGTTGTACCTCATTTTCTACATTGCACACATACATAATATAACAAATGTATTAACGCCAACTTACTCTCAACAGTGTTTTCCGGAGTTTTCTTTATGTTTGTAATTGTAAGAAAGTCGGGTGGTAACAATATACCAATAGTATGTAGTGATGCGATTCATTATTTCTGCTTTTCGACAATATATTTGAGTAGGTGTACTATTGTAAAATATTTCACCAATCCGATATAATATTTTTTGTTGACAAATTGAATTTTGAAAAAATATAATAAGATTTATGGTTTGACAAAATATATTATGTAGGTACCTTTTAATATAATTATATACTTTCAAACCACATTCACGCACTGCACAGATGTCCATTGAAAAACAATTATTTTGAGTGAAAATAATCTGTTCAAATAGTATAACACTACTAATATTATTGATAGGTACATTTTTACTGCAATTAACATATTCATTATATTGATAATTTATATTGAAGTATTTTGTTAAGCATTTGTATTCTAAGCAAAAATCAGCACACGGTGTAGTGCATTAAGTCGTTTACTGTTATTTCCACTACTGCATATAGAATATAAAATACAAAAAGATTAAATAGAATACCGTATTGATAAAGGTTGGTTATTTGGTAATTGTATTAATTATTTCGAAACGCAAATAGTGGGTATATTCTTATTTACTCTTTTGGCTTCAACTCCGTGTAGTACCTTTGTCATGAATTTTAGTGGAATAGTTTATAATATCAATAATAATTTTATTTCTTTTATTAATTTTCCTGGAAAATATTTCTTTCCATATTTTGAACTTTGAAGTACGTAATATTTATAAGTATTTGTGGTAAAAATATTCCAGGAATTTATACTACTTACTGTTATATTACTAGCTGAGCAATATTCACCTACTGCATTATAGCTCGTCAGTCGTCCTCGTTCACTTGTTCACTTACGTTCGGTTCTCGGTAATCAGTGCCTTTCAGAAAATCTCAACCGTTTTCGTTTCAAGCACCTCCAATCAATTTATTTTTGTATTTTTATGAATAATTCAGAATTCTACGTCTTTGCTTGATCCGCCGTCGTCGTGTTTAACGTTTTGTGCTTCAGTCTCGTCATGATAATCGTTATACGTACTTTGGAACTACTTAGAGCTATAGAAAATATAATATTTTAGGGAGGCACATAAAATACCTATACTATATACACATAATAATAATATATATTTTTACTATCGTTGTATGAAATTCGATGGGAACGTCCTGGAGTGGCCCTCCACATCATCTAGACTTCCGAGGTAAATAAAAGTAAATGTTATCTCGTGGCTACCATGGCTTTTACCGGATGAAATAAATCAATAACGTATTGTACCTCTTGGACAGATAACGAAATATAACATAACATGACATTTACTATAATAACCGTGTGTAAAATAATATATTAGTTTATTTTTGTAGGTAGGTACACCCCCATTATAATAGTTTTAATATAGTGAATAGTTTCAAACAATTTCAGTTGTATCTTAGCTATAATATAGGTAAGACTGTAATAGTTCCTCAGAAACACTTAAATGCCAGTATCAGTAGGTTATTATACTATGAAAATATTATGGGCCCCAAATGTCAGTTCATTATTATTAAAATTGAACTAGAATTGATGATATATTTCATATTATGATTGATCGTCTGCAGCATTATAATTATGTTCATACGATGAATTCTATCTACCTATCTTACTCTTTCACGTTTTCGTCACTGTAATATTTTAACATTGTTTCAATCTTAAAATCAAATTCATTAAACTATACATGATATGATAACTAAACTGTTTATCGTTTACTTACGATTGATTTGTGAAAGATTTTTAAATTTGTACCACTTTTCATCACCTCTATGGAATATGAATACTTGTACTTCTACTACTGGTGCTACTACCTAACCAAATCCTCAGTGATAATAAGAGTTATTAATGGGCGCCTGCAACTTGCCTGCCATGGATCCTCGGTATTATTGGAAGCAACGTTAAGTTTTTGTGCATTTCTGGAGGAGGTATAATATTATAAAATATGATTTTAAGTCCATCAAACAGTGGTGACTTTTGTGTCTGTAAAAACGGGCATACGTAAACTGCTCCCGAATTTTTATCTTAGTTGAAAAGGTATAGTGTAAACTGCGCCCGAAATATTAATGTTATCTATGTTAAAAAGGTATCTATAATGTAAACTGTGCCCGACTTATTAACTTGTTAAATTTTCACTTATCAAAGTCTCTATGTTTGACGATTGTGTACTTTTTCAAGTATATCACAGACATTTTATTTTCCAATTTATGAATATGTATCAACCATATGTTATTATTTGTAATATTTATAATTATTTTAATTTTAAAAATTATATTTCATTTTAATTCCTAATATGCTATAACAATATGACGTTATTATTTGTAATATTTGTATTTATTTTGCTTTTTAAAATGATATTTTATTTTTAATTATTCATATTATATGGCTGTAACGAATTAAGTATGAACCGTTTAAATTCCAAAACTCATAATAAATATAATAGTAGTTAAATTCAAATTGACGAATATGTATCCACCATATGTAATTATTTGTAATATTTATAATTATTTTAATTTTTAAAATTATATTTAATTTTTAATTATTCAAATTATATATAAATATGTAACGAATTAAGTATTTTACCTGTAATTTTACCCGGGCGCAGTTTACATGTCACCTTTTTACTCTTGATAAAAACTCGGGCGCAGTTTACATGTGTGATTTTGTGTTTACCTGTATTTTGGGCGCAGTTTACAATCGTCGGTAAAAAACAACATGAGAAATAAAAAAAGATGCTGATTACAAAGTCTAAAAAGATCGATTACTATTTTTGATGAATTCAAAACATCCAACCAAAAGTGGGTCTTAAATTATATATAGATG